GTTGTCCAGGCTGGAGTGCAGTGGTGTGATCATGGCTCACTGCAGCCTCAACCTGGGCTCAAGTGCCCACCACGGCCAGCTAATTTTAAATTTTGTTGTAGAGACTGTAGAGACGGGGTCTCTCTATGTTGTCCTGGCTTGTCTTGAACTCCTGAGCACAAGCAATCATCCTGCCTTGGCCTCCCAAAGTGCTGGGATCACAGGCGTGAGCCACTGTATCCAGCCTGATTTTGCAAAATGGCAATTGACATTAAAGGTTCATTTTTAAGAGTTGATTTTTAAAATTCACATGTAAGTACAAATGGCCAAGCTCTTCCTAATTAAAAAAAAAAAAAAAGAAAGTTGATGGTCTCAGACTTGTAGGAATAAACACTTATTAAAGGCAGGGAAATTATAATAAACAGAAACAGTGCAATGGTAGAAGGCCAAAGGAGCAGAACTGGGACTCGAGGCCCCCACACATGCCACTGCCTGCTCTGTGAAGAGAAGCATTGCAGGCCACAGAAGCCCCTTCCTGTATTCGCTCCTGGACAACGGGATACACATGCTGAAAGCCCTAAAGAAACTTCACCCTGCTTCACACCATAGCAGAAATAAATCCCAGGTGGATTATGGACAGAAACATGAAAAGTTAAAATAACAACATCTCTAGATGATTAAAAAAAAAAAAAAAGAACATGGCAAAGATTTCTTAAGAGGACTCAAGAAACAATGACATAAAGAAAATGTTAAATGAGCTCCATTAACATTAAGAGCTTCTGTTTATCCAAAGACCATGAAGACAGCTTAAACCCAATCACAGAGCTGGAGACAAAATCCATAATACTCATACGTAGTGAAAGGCTCTAAGACTCCTAAACATTGACTTAAATAGAGGGAGAGACCAAATATTTAAAATAAGCAAACTCATTTTGAAATGGCACTTCAAAAAAAGCAAGATTTTGAAATGTATGAACGCATTTCCACCAGGGAAATCAGGGAAATGTAAATTAAAACACCGTTCTATGTTATTATAGACCCACAAGAATGGCTAAAGGCTTAAAAATGGACAATACCAATCCACCAGGGAAATCAGGGAAATGTAAATTAAAACACCATTCTATGTTATGAAAGACCCACAAGAATGGCTGAAGGCTTAAAAATGGACAATACCAAATGGAGGCAAGGGTGTGATGCAAATGGAAGCCTCCTGCACTGTTGGTGGGTGTGTACACTGGTAACCACTTTGGAAATTACTTGGCAGCATTCATTTCTTTTTTATAAATTTATTTATTTTTAGTGGACACATAACTGTATATATTTATGGGGTATACTTTGATGCTTTGATACATATCTATGTGGTATAATGATCCCATCAGGCTATTAGCATATCTACTGGCAGTGTTTAGGAAGACTGACTCTATGTATAGCCTATGACCAGTAAGTATAAAATAAACACAAATGTAAATATAAATGTGTGTACATATACACACACATACCCAAAGTAACATATGCATCTGTGCATGAGATGATGACTAAGAATATAATAGCAGCATTATTTGTTATGCCTCAAACTGAGTAACCTATATGTCCATGAACAGTTGATTGGATAAATATATTATTTTTTTGAGTGGAATACTATACGGCAAGAAAATAAAACATAGTAACTACATGCAACAACATGGATGAACCTCCTTGCAAAATGCTGAGTGAAAGAATCCAGAGACCAGGAGTTCCTTTCGCATGATTCCGAGGTAATGTTTTCAAAAAGAGAGAAAAGTTGTCTCTGGTGCCAGAACTGTGAATAACGACTGCTTTTCAGAAGGGAGGTGGGGTGGACATGGTGGCTTCTGGGTCCCTGGTGAGAGTCGTGTCCCACATCTCAATCTGGTGCTGTGTTCGCTTGGTAAACATGCATTCTGAATGTGTACTGCATTAGCAAATGTTTATTTTAGCATATGTAACACTGCCACAGAGCCTTAGTAAGCAAAGAATTGTAAACATGCTCTGAATTTTCTCAGTCTCTTGGGAGCAATTCCAAAGCTGCATGGCCACTGCACCAGGCTCACGCACCTGTGCTGCTCCCTCTGGCTTCTCTCCTCCACGCCCCTTCCTCAGACGGTAAATGTCCCCCACCAGTGCCATTTTGCTTCCCACTGATTATCTCATTGGCTGCGTTTATCTCTCCAAATCACCTTTTTCCCTCTCTTATTTTCTTTTTCTCCTTCCCTCTCTCTCCCACCATATGTGTTTCTGTGGAGTGGGGTTGGCACTCACAGCCATCGCTCAGAGATGAGCACGCTTTTGGTCCAGTTAGCAAGCCATCCAAATACATGTTTGCTGGGTTTCTCGGTGATATTCTTCATTACTCACTGTTCATTTTAAATTTTCACTTCCATGTATGGATCTGCCAATGGGCAATGGAGGTAGCGGAAGGTGTGGCTTCCGGAAAGGGGGAGGACAGGAGTCTGCTCATTAGCAATGGTGGGAAAGCATTTTGGAGGCCACGTCCATCTGACAGAGACAGAGGTGCAGGCTGCAGTGGTGAGAGCCTGGGTTGAAATCAGGGCTCTGCATGCACCAGCTCAGCAACCTGCAATGTCCAGTGACCTTCCTGGGGCTGCACTCTCCACCTGGAGAAACTGGGTCAGTGTCAGTACTTACCTGATGATGTTAACATCTGTAAAGTACTTGGCATGGTGCATGTTAGCAGTTACAGCTGTCCCTCGGTGTCTACAGGGGATTGGGTCCAATCTCCCTCCCCCAACCTGGCCCCCTTACCCCATGCCAAAATCCATGAATGTGCAACTCCCACATTTGGCCCTTCAGGACCCACGGATACATGAAGCTGGCCCTCCATATCTGCAGGCTTCTCATCCTGAGAACAGCCTATATTTCTGATCTGTGGTTGAATCCGTCGATACAGAGGGCTGACCGTATTGAAAAACATTCTCAGAGAAGTGGACCATGCAGTTCAAACCCGTGTTGTTTGAGAAGCAACTGTGCTGTGGTCCCTGCTGGACTGACATGGACTGGAGCTGTCTCTGTCAGTCCCTGGGTCATAGGGGCAGCTGTCACCATAGGATGACTCCCCCACAAAGCTGGTCATGTATTTGTTGTAAGAGTCAACGCTGCACTTTGGGACGTGTTCTAAGAAATAAGTAGCTCCATTTCCCGTGTATAAAATAAGAACATGGCTACTGAAGGCTTTCTTGGCTTATGGGGCTATTTTCGAGAAGAAATGTTCAATGCCTGCAAAGCACTCTGCTTCCTGGGTATAATTACTGAGACAATGGAGCACGTTATTTTTATAATTCGGACTTTAGAATCGACAGACTCTCACAGCTCTCAAGAAGTGGCACTGGACCCTGCTTCTGACAGAAGGACGTGGGATGAGCCCCAAGTCGAGAGATACACACCAGCTCTGGATGCTTTTTCTGGCAAACATCACACACGTGGCCACCAGCAGAATGACATCCAACATAGACATCCACTTTTTTCAGCTCAGAAGTTCCACAAGCAGGTGACTAACGATGCCCACAGATGGAGGAGTGTGTTCTGTGCCCTAAAGGATCAGTGTTCATAGGCGGGATAATTCCCAATGCTCTTGGGTTGCCTAATTAAATATGTCACACTGTACATATGTGAAGGAAATGGATGTGTGTAAAAAATAAGGATTGTTCAATATAGGAAAATAAGATAAAATTTTCAGATTTAATTACCCTGGGTCAGCTTACCTCCTTAAAGTTTTCCTCTCTTTCTTTTTAGCAACTTGAAAATTTAAACATATATAGTAAAATATTATACTCTGTAAAATATAGAGTATAATAGAACAAATATTAATATTATACCAGCTTTTAAAAATAACTAGAATATGATAGGCCTTTCTCACACTTTTCAAAGTGCAGCCCTGTATTAAAGGTACACTTATTCTTTCTGAGAATTACCAACCATAATTGAGATGCCTGAACAATAAAAAGCATAACTCAATTACATTTGCTGGGTTTCTTAGCTGGATTCTCAACCACTCCTAACTTGTTTATTTTACTTCCAAGTATGGATCTCCTAATGGACTGTTGTTAGGGTCTAGAAACATTCCATTTGTTATATCATTGATTTTATCTGACATACTGGCAAACATTTGGATTACATTTTAGCAAAGAGAAATAAAATACGTAGTGATTGATATATAGAGTAAGCTGAATAGCCTTCATTTTATTTAGTGCTAATGATACATAAGGCAGATTTAATCCTAATTCACCAATGAGCTCTTCCTATAGAGAAACTACTGTTCTGGGACCAAACTCTCTACCCCCAACCCAAATCAAACAATGATTTGATTGGTCAAATCATCTGTACAATGTCATCATTAGTTACCAAGAGACCCACTAAAGATGCAGGTGGGCAGGGGCCATCTCACCTCACTGCCAGGGAAGAGTGGGAAGCATTTAATAAGCCCTCATCACAGCCTCACGTGCCATGCTAAGCCCTTCACATCTACCGACACATCAAGTTCTCACAACAGCCCTCTGAAGGGGGCTTCTTAGTCTCCACATGTTACAGAAGCACAGACAGGTTAAGTACTTTGTCCGAGGTCACACAGCTGCTAAGAGACTGACCCAGGATTTGAACCCAGACAGTCTGACTCCACCTTCATGCTCTTAAACACATCGCAGCATCTCTAATAGAGCACCTACAGCCAAAACACAGGAGCTTCTGGATGGCAAGGGCGAGATCATATTTCTTCTGTATTTTCCATGCATTTGCATAATGGCTAAGTATTTAATAAATGATAGCTGAGCTGAATTCCTATCCAAGGTCAGCATTATCTCTTTACATAATAAATGCAGAGTATTTAAATAAAAATGTAAATGTTAACATCATATTTCATGTCAGCATTCTCCAAGGGAGTCTTATTGGCTTAGCACACAGAGGGCTCCAGGCTGGGTGGCGCCTAGAAGGCCTAAATGGAAACTGCTTGTCTTGTATTCTTTGCAGAATTACTAATTTCTGCTCCTTACCTGAAGAGGCACAGAATTATGCTTCCTGTTGCAAGAGACATCAGAGAGACACTGTAGCCCAGGGTGTAAATGGCCTTCACCAGAATATAAAACGTGATCTACAAAGAAAGAAAATGGATCTGTAAGCTGAGGGTGACCAGCAGCACCAGACAACAGGAACGGTTCCAACATCCAGCCCTGTGCTCTGGCCATGAAGGACTCTTGCCTGCCTGGAAGGCATAAGACAGTCTCACTTTATAATTCCACCTCCATTTTGAACCAAAAAATGACCCCCACCACTCAGAACCTCTACTTTTTTCTTTTTTTTTTTTTTGAGACGGAGTCTCACGCTGTTGCCCAGGCTGGAGTGCAGTGGTGCGATCTCGGCTCACTGCAAGCTCCGCCTCCCGGGTTCCCGCCATTCTCCTGCCTCAGCCTCCTGAGTAGCTGGGACTACAGGCGCCCGCCACCGCGCCTGGCTAATTTTTTGTATTTTTAGTAGAGACGGGGTTTCACAGTGGTCTCGATCTCCTGACCTTGTGATCCGCCCGCCTCGGCCTCCCAAAGTGCTGGGATTACAGGCTTGAGCCACCGCGCCCGGCCTACTTTTTTCTTATAGTTCATCATGAATGACTTTGCATGGTTCCTGTAAAGCACCTCTGTCTGAAGGGAACATGACCCGCCACCATCAGGGAAAGCAAAGGAAGGAAGCGCTGAGCTAAGTTCAGAAAGAGAGCTCAGTCTGTCCCTGAGGCAGCACATCTAGCTTTCTGACACTTCTGGATGAGCTTAAGTGGACACACAGGTCTGAGTACATTAAACACTATGACCTACTGGCACAGGGTGAGGTGCTCCAGACAGAGGTACTTGCCTAAGCCTGAGCCAGTTGCTGAGTTGCAGTATCTTGGGAATTTTATTTCCTTAACATTTCTTGGTTTAGCAAGGTTCATGGCTTGATACTTTTAATCTCCATGAAATCATCAGGCACAGGAGGGATTCATGATCATCACTGTGGCAGAATCACTGGGAGTTCTATGACAACAGGGAATCCTACACAAAAAGAACTGGGTCCTCTAGAAGGAAAACCAGTGCTGGTCATGATAAAACCAGCAACACCTGCAGGGCATCATCATAGCTCGCCACTCCCAAAGGCTGCTTCCTGGTCTGCATTTTCTTGATAAAGCTAATTCATATAAAATAAAGAGGGAAACAATCCACGTGTGCTTACATGATGAATTTTATTTTTGCCAAGAGGTCCTAAGTAAGTACAACCGAACCTCACTGTTATTTTACAATACAAAATTTATGGCAAAACTCAAAAAGTTATGCTCTTGTTTATTAGTTTGGCTCTTAATTATAACTTTACTGTTTAATCATTATTTAGAACTTATTAACCCATTTACTTTGCATTACAGGAATCTCTTCTTAGGAACCTCGGCCCTGCTTACTTAGGACAGCTCAGAAAAGAGCACAGAGTAGTCCTGGCCAGATCCCTCTTCCTTGCTATTCCTCATCCTTCCTGACTCCACTCATGAGAAGATGTCATTAACTACCACCTAACCACCCTCTCACCTCATCTAACCATCACATCACTTTACCCAACCACCACCCTCACCTCACCTAACCACAAGTCTCATCTAACCCATACTCCATCTAACCATGACCCTCACCTCATCTAACCACCATTCTCAACCATATTTACCTCACTTAGCCATAATTCTTACCTCACCTAACTGCCACCCTCACATCACCTAACAACCACTTTCATCTCACCTAACCACTCTCCTCACCTTATCTACACCACTCTCAACTCATCCAACCCACACTCACTTCACTTACCCACCATCCTCACTTCACGGAACCCATCTTCACCTCACCTAACCAATAACCTCACCTCACCTAATCACCACCTTCACCTCACCTTACAACCACCCTCACCTCACCTAACCACCACTCTCAACTTACCTAATCCATACTCACTTCACCTAACCACCACCCTCACCTCATCTAACCACCCCTTCACCTCATCTAACCACCACCCTCACCTCACCTAATCACAAGTCTCATCTAATCCATACTCTACCTAACCATGACCCTCAACTCATCTAACCACCATTCTCAACTCATCTAACCATCTCCTTCATCTAACCACCATCTCACTTCACTAACAATCAACTTCACTTCACCTAACCACTCTTCTCACCTCACCTAACCACCACTCTCAACTCATCTAACCCACACTCACTTCACTTACCCACCATATTCACCTCACTTAGCCGTAACTCTTTCCTCACCTAACTGCCACCCTCACATCACCTAACAACCACTTTCATCTCACCTAACCACTCTCCTCACCTTATCTAGCCACCACTCTCAATTCATCCAACCCATACTCACTTCACTTACCCACCACCCTCACCTCACAGAACCCATCTTCACCTCACCTAACCACTAACCTCACTTCACCTAACCACCACTCTGAACTCATCTAACCCATATTCACTTCACCTAACCACAGCTTGCACCTTACCTAACCCACACTCACCTCACCTATCAGCCACCCTCACATCATGTAACCACCACCTTCACTTTGTTGTGGAAAGCAGTTTGCTGATTTCTCAAAGAACTTAGAACTACCATTCAACCTGGCAATACCATTACTGGGTATAAACCCAAAGGAACAGAAATCATTCTACCAAAAAGACACGCCCAGCACAGCCCTATTCACAAAGCAAAGACATGGAATCAATACGTCCCCATCAACAGTGAACTGGACTGGTACATATAGAGCATGGAATACTACACAGCCACAAAGACTGAAATCACATCCTTTGAAGCACCATGGAGGCAGCTGGAGGCCATCATCCTAAGCCAATTAGCACAGAAACAGAAAACCAAATACCACATGTTCTCATAAGTGAGAACAAAACATTGGGTACTCAGGGAGGAGAAACGGAGGGAGGGGGCAAGGGTTGAAAAACTAACTGTTGGGTACTATGCTCTGTACTTGGGTGGCGGGACCAGTCAGACCGCAAACCTTAGCATCATGAAATATATCCAGATAATATATCCAGGTAACAAGCCTGCACATGTGTCCCCTGAATCTAAAATAAAAGTTGGAAAAAAAAAAAAAAAAAAAAAAGGCTGGGCTTGGTGGTTCACACCTGCAATCCCAGCACTTTGGGAAACCGAGGTGGGAGGATTGCTTGCTCCCAGGAATTTGAGACCAGCCTGGGCAACAGAATGGGACCCCCGTCTCTAAAAAAATAGAAAAATAATTAGCTGGGTGTGGTGCGTGTGCCTGTGGTCCTCAGCTACTGGGGAAGCTGAGGTGGGAGGATCGCCTGAGCCGGGAAGGTGGAGGCTGCCTAAGCTGTGATCGCGCCACTGCCCTCCAGCCTGGGTGACACAGTGAGGACCTGCCGCAAAAAAAAAAAAAAAAAAAAAAAAAAAAAAGGAAAAAAGTGAAAAATAATCCATACTTCCACCCTTTCTCTCATTCAGCTGGGCGCCCACCAGAGTTGAGAACGTGGGAGAAGCCGACAGCAGGAATGGCGGCCTTGGGGGTCTCACACTCAGCGGGAGGGCGAGCCGGGTGGAGTCCCGGGCCAAGCGCGGTGCGCTGCTGTGAGGAGAATCCAGGCCGGGTCGGACGCGCTGCAGCGGGAGGCGCCGCGGCTCTGGGGCCCCCGTGGGAGGGAGCGGCGGCCGCGTCAGGAGCGGATGATGGCGGGAGGGCGGGAAGCCTGGAGCCTCTAGAGGAGCCCCGTCCTGAGGAGCCTGGTCTTGCGGAGCCGGGTCCTGAGGGCCCTGCAGTGGGGGAGGTGTGGGGTCTTCCGGCGGCAGTGCGGCCATGGGGCGCCGGCGGGTGTGAAGCAGGCGAGAACGGGTCAGATCCCAACAGTGGCTTGATGGCGGGGCCCGCGGGCCTTCCCGACGGAGATGGGAGGAAAACGGCGAGGAAGCCCCGAAGGCTTCAGCCCGAGCCCCGGCAAGCGGCAGCCTCAGCGGCCGGGACGTGGGAGAGCAGCGCCAGCCTCGGGCTCGGGTCTGGGGGTCCTGGTGGGATCTGGGGTTCTTGCGGTATCTGGGGTTCCTGGCGGGTCTGAGGGCCTCGCGGGATCTGGGGGGCCTGATGGGGTTTGTGGGTCCTGGCGGGATGTGGGGCTCTGGTGGGATCTGGGGGGCCTGGCGGGGCCCGGGGGGCGCGGAGCACCAGGTGCCCACACCCGGCTGGGGTTCAAGAGGAAGGTCTGGGCCAGAGGCGTCCCCTGAGGCTTCCTCAGGCTGAGGCAGCACTGAGCCCCCTGCAGCACTGAGGCCGCGGGCATTCACGAAGAAATTCATCGACAAAAACGGCTCAAGTGATTCTGGACGGAGAAGCCGCGCCCGGCGTGGGTGAGCGCGGATGGAGCAGAAAGGAGGCGGAGCGACACCTGCGGTGGGGGAGGGGCGGCCCCACGCGCGGGGCCAGGAGGGCTCCTTCCCGCGTCTCACAGGAAGGCGGAGGGCGCCTTCCTCCCGCGTCTCACAGGAGGCCGGAGGGCGCCTTCCTCCCGCGTCTCACAGGAGCCAGGAGGGCGCCATCCTCCCGCGTCTCACAGGAGGCCGGAGGGCGCCATCCTCCCGCGTCTCACAGGAGGCCGGAGGGCGCCTTCCTCCCGCGTCTCACAGGAGGCCGGAGGGCGCCTTCCTCCCGCGTCTCACAGGAGGCCGGAGGGCGCCTTCCTCCCGCGTCTCACAGGAGGCCGGAGGGCGCCTTCCTCCCGCGTCTCACAGGAGGCCGGAGGGCGCCTTCCTCCCGCGTCTCACAGGAGGCCGGAGGGCGCCTTCCTCCCGCGTCTCACAGGAGGCCGGAGGGCGCCTTCCTCCCGCGTCTCACAGGAGGCCGGAGGGCGCCTTCCTCCCGCGTCTCACAGGAGGCCGGAGGGCGCCATCCTCCCGCGTCTCACAGGAGGCCGGAGGGCGCCTTCCTCCCGCGTCTCACAGGAGGCCGGAGGGCGCCTTCTTCCCGCCTCTCACAGGATTCCGGGTCCCCTGCCCCGAAGCCGCTGGGGCCTGGCTGAGGCGACCCTGCACCTGGGCCCCGTGGGCTCCAGCGGGTCCACGGAGGACCCCC